TGGTTGGTATCGATACTGTTGGTGAACGATGACGTAACTAGAGCTGACGTGGATGGTATCGATACTGTTGGTGAACGATGCCGTTACTAGGGGTGACGTGGTTGGTATCGATACTGTTGGTGAACGATGACGTAACTAGAGCTGACGTGGATGGTATCGATACTGTTGGTGAACGATGCCGTTACTAGGGGTGACGTGGTTGGTATCGATACTGTTGGTGAACGATGACGTTGCTAGGGTGACGTGTATGGTATCGATACTGTTGGGGAACGATGACGTTACTAGGGGTGACGTGGATGATATCGATACTGTTGGTGAACGATGACGTTACTGGGGGTGACGTGTATGGTAGCGATACTGTTGGTGAACGATGACGTTACTAGGGCTGACGTGTATGGTATCGATACTTTTGGTGAACGATGACGTTACTAGGGGTGACATATATGGTATCGATACTGTTGGTGAACGATGACGCTACTAGGGGTGACGTGGATGGTATAGATACTGTTGGTGAACGATGCCGTTACTAGGGTGACGTGTATGGTATCGATACTGTTGGTGAAAGATGACGTTACTAGGGTGACGTGTATGGTATCGATACTGTTGGGGAACGATGACGTTACTAGGGGTGACGTGGATAGTATAGATACTGTTGGTGAACGATGACGTTACTAGGGGAGACGTGGATGGGATCGATACTGTTGGTGAACGATGACATTACTAGGGGAGACGTGGATGGTATCGATACTGGTGGTGAATGATGACGTTGCTAGGGTGACGTGTATGGTATCGATACTGTTGGGGAACGATGAAGTTACTAGGGGTGACGTGTATGCTATCGATACTGTTGGTGAATGATGACGTTGCTAGGGTGACGTGTATGGTATCGATACTGTTGGGGAACGATGAAGTTACTAGGGGTGACGTGTATGGAATCGATACTGTTGGTGAACGATGACGTTACTAGGGGTGACGTGGATAGTATCGATACTGTTGGTGAACGATGACGTTACTAGGGGTGACATGTATGGTATCGATACTGTTGGTGAACGATGACGTTACTAGGGGGGATGCGTATGGTATCGATACTTTTGGTGAACGATGACGTTACTAGGGGGGACGTGTATGGTATCGGTACTGTTGGTGAACGATGACGTTAATAGGGGTGACATGTATGGTATCGATACTGTTGGGGAACGATGACGTTACAAGGGGTGACGTGTATGGTATCGATACTGTTGGGGAACGATGACGTTACAAGGGGTGACGTGTATGGTATCGATACTGTTGGTGAACGATGACGTTACTAGGGGTGACATGTATGGTATCGATACTGTTGGTGAACGATGACGTAACTAGGGCTGACGTGGATGGTATCGATACTGTTGGGGAACGATGACGTTACTAGGGGTGATGCGTATGGTATCGATACTTTTGGTGAACGATGACGTTACTAGGGGGGACGTGTATGGTATCAATACTGTTGGTGAACGGTGACGTTACTAGGGGAGACGTGGATGGTATCGATACTGTTGGTGAACGATGACGTTACTAGGGGTGACGTGGGTGGTAACGATACTTTTGGTGAACGATGACGTTACTAGGGCTGACGTGTATGGTATCAATTCTGTTGGTGAACGATGACGTTACTAGGGGAGACGTGGATGGTATCGATACTGTTGGTGAACGATGACGTAACTAGGGGTTACGTGTATGGTATCAATACTGTTGGTGAACGATGACGTTACTAGGGGTGACGTGGGTGGTAACGATACTGTTGGGGAACGATAACGTTACTAGGGGAGACGTGGATGGTATCGATACTGTTGGTGAACGATGACGTTACTAGGGGTGACGTGTATGGTAACGATACTGTTGGTGAACGATGACGTAACTAGAGCTGACGTGGATGGTATCGATACTGTTGGTGAACGATGACGTTACTAGGGGTGATGCGTATGGTATCGATACTTTTGGTGAACGATGACGTTACTTGGGCTGACGTGTATGGTGTCAATACTGTTGGTGAACGATGACGTTACTAGGGGAGACGTGGATGGTGTCGATACTGTTGGTGAACGATGACGTTACTAGGGGTGACGTGTATGGTATCAATACTGTTGGTGAACGATGACGTTACTAGGGGAGACGTGTATTGTATCAATACTGTTGGTGAACGATGACGTTACTAGGGGTGCCTTTATGGTATCGATACTGTTGGTGAACGATGACGTTACTATGAATGGGTCGCGCTGTTAGGGGTGAGTGGTATCGATCTATAGATATACATGTCTATATGTATGGTATCGATACTGTTGGTGAACGCTGACGTTACTAGGGGAGACGTGTATGGGATCGATACTGTTGGTGAACGATGACGTTGCTAGGGGTGACGTGTATGGTATCAATACTGTTGGTGACGTGGGTGGTATCGATACTGTTGGTGAACGATGGCGTTACTAGGGGAGACGTGTATGGTATCGATACTGTTGGTGAACGATGGCGTTACTAGGGGAGACGTGTATGGTATCGATACTGTTGGTGAACGACGACGTTACTAGGGGAGACGTGTATGGTATCGATACTGTTGGTGAACGCTGACGTTACTAGGGGAGACGTGTATGGTATCGATACTGTTGGTGAACGATGACGTTACTATGAATGGGTCGCGTTGTTAGGGGTGAGTGGTATCGATCTATAGATATACATGTCTATTGATTGGTGATATCAGTCTTTGTGCGGCTGTTATAGACCTATGAATGGGTGATATCGATACTGTCGATAAGTGGTGTCGACACTATACCGACGATATTGATACTGTAGGTGGAAGATATCGAAACTAAAGGTGGGTGATATCGATAATGTTGATGAATGATATCGATACTATGGGTAAGTGATATCGATACCAAATCGTGCATACTGTAATGATACCTGAAGCTCGATTGACTTAATGTATAATGTTTCACTCGCACCCGAGTGTCACAATAGCAAGCGAGTTTGTACAGGTGGATATGGTGAAAATATGAATAATATGAAACTGATATTTTAACGTTTCACTTATAATTACTATTCCCGCTTGTGTTTGTCAATATGAACTTAAACAGGGGTCAAAGGTTTAGGAACACAACTTGGTAGTTCCAATCAACTAGTTTGACACGTGTTTAAAACAATGTAAGAACACAAACAGACGTAAAATACGGCCACAATATTTTGACAGACGTCTAGATTAAAAGCACGTGTTCTGATTGGGGTATTTATAAAACACAAATGACTGTTCATGTACCGTCAATCAATCTACCTGCCAAAAAGCAAAGCGCACCTGAACTGGGGTAGTTCAGGACAGGATACACTAAAACTATTTTGTCTTTTTTGTCATAATGGTGAATAAGCTTCGTTGATTTACATTGTAAACGACAAAGGTTTTAAACTGACGATTGACTAAAGCTATTGTGAGTCATCGGTTGGTCGAACTTATAAAGACCCACGCTCGCTCGCGAGTCTTCATTTATACAGAGCAAACATAGTATTTAATCGTGAGGTCATTTCACATATCACAGACGCGTACAACTTCTCTCTGTAGATATTGGAGTTATATTGGGATTATTTTCACAGGTAAGCGTTAAAAATGATGATCTGGAAGTCATTGACATCGTATAAAATTATCATTTGTTCCGTGGCTTTCTAATGGCGCGACTTTCCTTCGTGTTACCTCACACGTATGGTAGGGAGGCTAACGACTTTTATGTAAACACAATTTGTTGGCTGTCGCGGTTTGATTTACAACTTAATGATATTGTGTGTATTTAAAATTTTACATCACGTGTGGTTTGTTTCACTTAACACGTGTTTGAAGGGCTGTGTATGTGTGCTTGTTTTCACTACCTTGAACACACATGCACACGAACAGTATAAGAATATCTCCCTGTGTTCGGGTCTCGTACAATTCAATGCGGAGCCGGTATCATCCCCCTGGCTGAACATCAGCAACTTATTTCGGGTTGGTTTTCGTTTGTACTGTACGTAGTGCGGGTATATATGCTTTATCGAACAAGTGTCCATTTGGTAAATATGTGTATACACATGTGTGCATGATTTATGTGGCGTAACACTCAATAACGTTGCATAGTATTGTATGTAGCCGCCCATAGGGACTGTAGCACGGAATGGGTTTGTTTTGAATTATAAAATATTTACATTACATGAATGTACTGGCTGTTTTGCTGAACACAGGGACTTCAGAATTTGTTACAGCTGTATTTGGACCTAAACTAAGGTGTTCAGAGATATTTTGTATGTTTTAGAGGGTTAAGATCAACGCCACCCCATGATGATATATACGAGAAGGGAGGAAAGCTCTCGATGTCGAAAAATCTACCCCACCTAACTTTCTTGCACAAACCACATTTCTAGTTGTTGTACAAAAAATGCTTAGTACCGTTGGAAAACAAATTCTCAAGTCCCTGTGTTACTGAGTACGAGTTTTGGAGGGTGTGAGTGTTTCACAGTTCTTATTCCGAGCCATATTTTGAAAATATTTATGCCAAATATTAAATACATGAACGAACGTATTTGCGAGTGTTGTTGAACGGAGCATTAAGTACTGTGTTGAAAACGTTACATTTAGAGACGTGTATTGTGATATATTTCACCAAGCACGTGTGTGCATCAACACATGTGTGAAAATATTCACGATTGTTAAAATTTGCTTTTTAAAACTAAAAAATGAGCGTGAATTTAAATTGGAGTATCAAGGTATTATGACGACTCCTAGGCCTATAACATTACTGTTTCGACTGTATATGTTCATGTATTGACTGTATATAATAAGCACGAATGTGAGTACCGATGTATTTTGCAGAATTCAGTCATTTCGGTTGTATTGCCGCTTACTGGCACTAATTAGTCAGAAAGGATTCGCAATCACCACTGTTTTGACGAGATAACATCGATTTGTGTCATAAATCTGAACTCATTGTGTGTCTTACTGCTTCGTTTTCCAGTGCACTGGAGCGCGAGATTCCGGGATCGCCTACCTACACACACAGGTGCTGGTTCAGACGAGGGCGGACAGCGCAGCCGACAACACGTAGTCGCTCGGAGAACAGGGTATATAGATTGGATATGGAATGATGATCGGTCCGGTCGAATCAGGAAATTTACACAGATAAATACCATATGGGAAACGGAGTAATATCCAGCTCGGGAATTATCATTTATTTCATCATGACAAGATGACGTGATATTGTAAAATCATCATCACTTATTTGATGATAGAATTAAACTTAGTATAGATTTTTTACGATTCCAGCATTTTAACGAGATAAAATCGTTTGTGTGTATTGTTTTTGTACGTTTCATATACGAAGGATATTTTATTTCGTACTATGTACCTATTTTAACTCCGACACAAGTTTTAAAATACGGATAACTCGAAAACATAGGTGAAGGTCGTTCGTTACTCCAAATGAGGAAAACGGGACTAGCCATGTCTCGTGCTGTGTCCTTGACCTTGTGTGTTTTGGCCGGAGTGTGTACCCTGTTTCAGTTAATCAGTTTCGCGACCCAGGGATGGGGAATATGGACGGACAAAATTACTGGGAGAAAGGTATATATTGGACTTTGGTATAGTGTGGTTTGTGACGCGCCCTCGGGCTACTGTGCAAGTATTTCACATCACGAAGAGCACCAGAAAAATGTGGACAACAATCAGCTTTTTAAAGGTGAGTCGATGATTTGTCTTTTATACTTAATTATTCAAAGTTTGTTATGTTTTCTGTCCCTGTCATCTTGTATACGGTAAAATGCAAGTAACCCCGATTAAACTAATAAATATGTCCGCTTGATTTCCTGATACTTGCCATCCTTTGGAATCTCCACAGGGAAATTCCGTGTGTTCAAAATTAAAAACATAATTAAAATGCGTGTATTTACCCCTAGGGGAAAACAACACTTTAAAACGGTATCTTTTGAGTAATTCTTCCATGTAAAATCATAAGATCTTAGAGTGTAGGGATATTTAAACAAATTCACTGGTGGAAAATATTTAATTTTAGGGGCCAAAAATAGGGAGTTTCCCTCAAAAATAGGGAGTCGGCACGTATATTCCCACAGTCGATCACATGTAGAAGTCACTAATACCCGCACGTGACATAACGTCCAACCATATTATCCAGCCACTGATGACCATTGTAGTTTTAGGTGATGACCAGTAGTTTACCCCACAACGATCCCACAAGCAGTACTCTATAAGCTACACTGGTTTTAAGCGACCTGTTCAACCCCAAAATCCTTACCCTATCCCCCCCCCCCATTAACGGTTCTAAGACAGCTATATTGTATCTCCATCATCTAATACTTTTCTTTAAACAAAGAAAATTTCAGCACATTGAACACAAATACGAAATATGAAATAACTGAAAACGTTTGGTCCTTGATGAAAATTCAGAATGTCCTTCTTTGCTATCGAAATTAAGTCTAACATTTTCTACTTATAAACATTAGTGAAGTTGAGAGCTAGACCTTTATGTACATGTAACAAGTATATATGGCCATTTGAAGCATTAAAACCGAGTAAAGTTAAGCTATAAATATCACTGGCGTTTAAATTTTAAAAAAATAAGGCAAATCCTATTAAAGATGTGCTGTATACCGATCTGTGTTTTAGGAATAAAATGTTTGTCACTTTAGTTTGAAAAGGGGAACAGGTAGGTTGATAAAATGCATCATAAACAAAAAATAATTTTATAAACATGGTTTTATTGACATGTAGCTGAATTCTTTTGTGAGGTTACATTCATTATTTCAAGTGTTCAGGCAACTAATATTTAGTTATGGTTGGCCTTAGATCTCAATTACGAAGTGTTGTCACATTTCAATGATGTTAACTTGTGGTACATGGTGTTTCAGGAACGTTTATAAGTGTTTCATATATATGAAAACATTTATTTTTTAATAAAAAATTCAAATTTTTCCGTCGAACACAAAAGACATACCATAGAAAGTAAAATGTATGGCAATTACTCTTACATATACAGGCAACAGGCAAGGATGACTGGGCATTGTAAAGTGTGTAAGCGATATTTTGAAACAGGAAATTATCATTTATACAAGAAGTATATCACTTACCTCGAGGAGTGAATGTTGAATCATCATGTTTCAGTTGAACAATTATGTAGATTGAAGTACAAAACGGGGATACATTCGTGAGTGTTCGTTAATGGTGCAACAAAGATTGGGTAAAGTGAGGTTGGGGGTTGGAACGGGCAAGAAGTGCCTAGAAATTCTCGTCAATCAAAACCTCTCCTTACATGTTTTTTAAAAAAAACAACATTTTTATATAGAGAGAGAGATATTAAAAAATATATCCTGGTATTGTAAAAAAACACCCATATACTTCTGATGTTAATGCGACAAATGTGTATAGGGAGGGGGAAGAGATGAATGCGATTCCCAGCAGAACCCCTTTTTGCTTGATTTCTTAGGAGAGGAATAAATATTGCATTAACGTAACGGAGAATCGTAAACGTTGGAGTTTAACGCCACCAGTATATCAACATGTTGACATAAGACTATCAGTGGTCTAATGTTTAGAGGCCAAGGTATTCCAGTTTATCACAGTGTATCCCCAACACAGAACATGAGGGCCATCAGGCGGTAGATATAAGTATTAACGCGGCGGCTTTAAGACAGTAGGAATAATGAACACACGTGGGCTGTCGTGGTAGATAAAGCGCACAGTCGGGGGCGATCAGAGTTGTAGATATAACACAGAATCGGGGGCGATCAGACAGTTGATATAACAAAGACATGGGGCGATTAGGCGGTATATAACGAATACACGAGTCGATCAGGCGGTAGATATAACGAAGACAGGGGACGAGGTAGATATAACGAAGACACAGGGGCTATCAGGCGGTAGATATAACGAAGACACGAGGGCTATCAGGCGGTAGATATAACGAAGACACATGGGCTATGAGGCGGTAGATATAACGAAGACACGAGGGCTATGAGGCGGTAGATATAACGAAGACATGAGGGCTATCAGGCGCTAGATATAACGAAGACAGGGGGCGAGGTAGATATAACGAAGACACATGGGCTATGAGGCGGTAGATATAACCAAAACACAGGGGCTATCAGGCGCTAGATATAACGAAGAAAGATACTGAGACGGGGATTATCGGATAGTAAATATGATATTATACAAGGAGGCCATCAGGCAGTAGATATAAATGTCGACACGGGAACTATTAGGCGGTAGATATAATTATTGACAGATGGCTATCAGGCAGTAAATATAACTTTAGTTCGGGTGTCTGGGTGGTGTGTCAAGCTGCCATGTGTTGGCTATGACATTTCTGTGAAATGAAAATTTAAAGGACGCAAGAAACAAAGCATCATGCTTGATTAGTTCAATGCATTGAAGAAGCGAGATTTGATCCCTGGCGCCTCCATACAGTTGTACTGAAACCACTATGGCGTAATCAACATGTATATATATTGCACATGTGCATTTCATCAAGTTGCATTAAGAGGCATAAGCATTGTTTTGACATAGACAATCAAGGGTTAAATGTTTACATCACCCTACTGATGTCGAGTGCGGCGTAAAACGTGTGGATTACATGCAGACATGTGTGGCGTTGGCGGGAGATGTGACAGAATCGGCTCCGATCTCGGTTATACACGAACAAAGAATCTTGATATACTTGTAATTGTCTAACGTTTGATGACACTGTGTCTGTAGGTATGTGTGCCAAATGGTAGGTTTCCCAGCCAACGGCATCTTAAACAGGTCTACAGTTAAAAAAATGGGAAGTTCCCCCACAAAATATTACGTAAAAATTGATATGACTTAAGGAAGTGTCCCTTTTCCTTTCGATACTAAAAGGTGAGCGACAAATTTAAAATAAACAACACGTTTTCCAGTTAAAGTAAGTCTTGAGAATTTAGAAGGGTTCCGAATGAAGTCTATATACGGTACATACTCCAAATGTTGGCTGCAATAACAAACCCGGAAAGTTCACAGAGATATTTTTGGACTTTCAAATCAGAAAATTTCCAACCAAAGCCTTCTTCAACATAACATTAGATGGCGAACAGGGAAGTTCTCAACCAAATACTCAAACATGTCGGTTAAAAATGTGTCCCCTTTATATACTTTCTTGACAGATGAAATGCAATCCGAAAATTTTCCATTAGATGCTGGCGAAGTTTCCGATTATGCACTATCCTCTATAAATCTTATTCTACTTAAAAGAAATGTCAAGATATCTCAATCGAATGCACCCAAAATCTTGATGAATTTCGTCATTGCACGTGCAATTGTGTGGCATGAAGCTTCCCGTTCTAGACAGCGCAACATAATTGAGATAATGTTTAGCGCACTCGTCCAGAAAACAACCATAACACTCCCACCAATTAACAAGATGGCGGGACTTGGCTCACAATACTTGTTTCACAGATTGTATGTGTGTCAGGGCCATAATTTCTTTCTCTGTAATTTGCCACACATGTCCGTCATGTAAACAAGAATAATCAACAATGCCAGGCCAAACAAATGTCCACTCTACACTATTACGCTAACTGTGAAAGACTAGAATATCTGTATCCCACCGCACGAAGGTATGAGGCGACTAACGAGGTTACTCTGCTAAGATTGCCATCAGCTTTGAGGCGACTAATGTGGGTACCCTGCTCAGTCTGTCCTCGGCTTTGATGCGACTAATGTGGGTACCCTGCTAAGTCTACCATCAGCTTTGAGGCGACTGATCTGGGTACCCTGCTAAGTCTGCCATCAGCTTTGAGGCGACTAATGTGGGTACCCTGCTCAATCTGTCTTCGGTTTTGAGTCGACTAATGTGGGTACCCTGCTAAGTCTGCCATCAGCTTTGAGGCGACTAATGTAGGTACCCTGCTAAGTATGTCATCAGCTTTGAGGCGACTAATGTGGGTACCCTGCTCAGTCTGTCCTCGGCTTTGAGGCGACTAATGTGGACACCCTGTTCAATCTGTCTTCGGTTTTGACGATATTGAAGCAACTAAGATTAGTGAAAGAAGGGATTGTTATAAATGGTGAAAACACTAAATATGTTACACAATGTCTACGTATACACATCTATACTTCTTCGAGAATTCCTACTGGGTGATCTGGTAATTTTTGTTTTACATCCTTGCAATAACGTTTTTGATGACAGTGTCTACATACATGACGGGACCATTTGCTCCATGTTGTCTTTCCTTTTGTTTCGGTATCGCAACAGTTTTGGCATCTTCGACGATATGTGTATCGAAAGCCGGGACTTTATCAGGGGGTTTTGGAAACGGACCTTGGGATAAAATTGGGAATTAAATCGACACAATTACCGTTTTGGGAAGTCTTGATCATCATTATATTAGCTCTAAATGCATTAAATTATATTGTTTAACTTTTATTTAAGCCTGTCTTTGTTGCATACGTTGCATTTTGAGAACTCAGTCAACCGAGAGGAATTTATTTTAAATTTATGCATTTATTTTATTTAGATTTCCCAATTTGGAATTGTAAATGGGTAAATTGGGGAAAATCGAATACTTTTTCAATTTGGAATGGGACCTTCAAATGGACTTAAAAGTAACCTGGTAGACCCCTGAAAGCGAAACCCTTGTATCTATAAGATGACTTTGAAATTAGTCTTGTTTAATACTTGATAATTCATGAAAATTTAAAAATACACTT